CAGCAGGTTAAGAATTTTGTGGATTGCTTACAGTGCAGCTCCCAACTTGCTACATAGGGCTTCTTGTCTGCTGTAGCCACATGCTTTCCTTCTGCAACATGGATCACAGCAATCCCCATGCCAGATACTGAGCAGGCAGCAAGGGAGTCTGGCGGGGGCAGCACTGCTTTCCTCCCTCCTCCTGTAAATGTAATCAGGCTTTCTGGTTGGAGAGAGCAAATTCAGAAGGCTCTGCCTAGTTGAGCAGATGAGAAGGAAATGCAGAATCCCATGAGCTGAGAGCAGAGCACCGTGGCCATCTCTCAAACAGCGCTTGGGGAGCCACTACCCCGGGGTGCACAGCAGTGCTACATTGGCCTCTTGGTGTCCAGCCCCATTCCTTAGGAGAACGTCCTCTTCAGCTAGAGAAGATCTGCTGACAGATGCCCAACAAGTCTGCTGTGCTTTCTCTTGGAAGCTCTGCAGAGATTGCACCCTTCTGCATCTTCTAGTTGTTGGGAGCCCACCTCCTTCTCCACCTAGAACGCCCCTGCAGCTGAGGCCCTGGCAGACATTCTTGTGCTTCTGCCTTGCAGCAAGGATGTCCCGCTCTTCCACCCCGTCATGCCCAGAGCAGAGCTGGCTGCCTGGCAAGCGCTGCATCTCCGTTCTTCCTCCTCTCTCGATTAGTTGGCTAAATTCTCAATAATACCAATCTCGGAAATCCCACTGGTGACTGGGAGGGGCATGGGCGTGACTCCAACCCAGTGTATACTGTACTGAGAGGAACCTGCGGTTGGGGTGGGAGTACAACCAGTGTACATATAGAGTAAATGGCTACAAATCCAATGGACTTTTTACAGTGTAATAAATACATCCTGTAAATGAATGCTCTAGCGTTGCGCTCCTTTTCTGTCATGGTTCTGCGGTTCAGAGCTTTGGGAAGAGTGGAGTTTAGTTGTCAAGGTGCTGTGCCCGGCTGCCAGCCCCCTGGCTCCATATACCAGGATCCTCCAACAGAGTGCTCTGTCTGCAGGGAGCACGGAGGGACTTGCCCTAACAAGTGGTCAGCTCATAGCGGGGGGCTGCAGTGGAGGTTGGCCATCAAGGGGCTAAGCAGAAATGGTTCCCATCACGGGCAAAGCAGAGCTGTAACAGCGAGATTGCTCTCGCTTCTGGCAAGAAGCGTCGGCTGTAAAATTTCTGGTGTTATGTTGGTGTGTGCTCGTGCACCACCAGGACTGAGGGCGGAGACTAGGGCTGAGGAGCAAGTGCCCTGCGGCATCTCGGCATGCAGCCAGAACAGAGACCTCGGTGACAACCTTTGGAGACTTTGGAGAAAGGAGCATTTTCTGTCTGATGAGGAAGAAATCCTCGTTTCCACTGACAGGACTTGGAGAGGGCGTGAGAGATCCTGGGCTCTTCCAGGGCTAATGCTTGCCATGGATATGGACAACCACACGTACTTCCCTCACGGTTTTTTCTACTTTGTCTTGTGGCAAGATCCACGCAGTGAGTGCCACAGCGCCCTTAGAGCTGCGTGAGGCACCAATGCCTTCCCTGTCGCAAGGATTCCAAGAGACTCCTACGGGCTTGAGAAGGGGTTTGAAAACTTGGTGTTTGTTTGAATTGCATGAGCAAAGGTCTAAATATTGCATAATGGAAGAGTAATGTGCATACTAAGAAAGTCCCATTAATAAATCCTGGTTCCCTTACCCCATTTCCACCATTCCCAGAATATTTTCACTGCTGCAAGCCTTCTCTTCCTCACCCTCCACTGTTTCCAGATTGTGTCCTTCCAGCCCTTAGATGTTTTCATTCATGTATTTGAATCCTTGCGCTGCCCGTGGCCCTTCTGTATCCAGCCCGCCTCTCTGTCTTGTATTTCTGAGCCTTCAGTTCTATTTACAGCTCTGTTTTTTCTGAGCTGCCTCCAAAATGCTCGCTGAAACCTTTAGATTATTAACTCTTTGTAAACCATTGCTCAATTGTCAAATGCCTCGGTGGCAGCACTACTGCCCTCTGATCCCCGGACGGTCCTTTGACTTCTTGGAGCGGTGTCAGCTAATGGCAAAGCCCAGTTTTTCCTGCTGCCTTCAGAGAGTTGTTTGGGGGGTGCTATGGTTTAAGCTGTGTTTGCAAACCCAGTTTCTACTGAGAGCATTACATCTTAATTCAGACAATTGCGGTGCAAAGCAAAAGCCACCCGAGGAAACTGCAGGAAGCGGGACTGGAATGGAAAGAATGTCAGCTGGAAAGACAGACAGAATTGCACTTTAAACAGTTTTCGCTAGACTGTAAATAGGAATGGACTGGAAAACCAGAAAAAAAAAAATTCTTTGAATGTTGTTTGGATTTTGCAATAACAAGGTTTCATGTGTTACAGAGAAAAAATAACAGGGAAAGGGTTTGAACCGAAAGGAGATAGAACCAACTGACAGGTAGCATGTGCTGTGATATACATATTTTTACCAATAAGTCTCTTGAACTCTATTTGTAACTTAAATTACATAAAAGACAGCCATACTACCAGCGGCTGTTGGTGAGGAGCGGTGTTCACAACACTAGCCTTCAGGTTTGTCCCAGCATATCCTTTTTCTAGTCTTGGACTTCTTTCTCATTTTTACGGGTCTGACTCACTGTTTTCCAGAGGAGGCTGGACAGACATCACCTTAGTTTGGCTTTACATACCTCTTCTGTTCCCATTTACATCGAGAACTTCCACCGCTGAAACAGAATAGAAATAAGTACTGGGACTTGGCGTGTGTCAGTAGGACGCGTTACTGTGGAGCTGGTGTTTTCCTCATTGGTGTGAAGCTTCCTAGTGGGAGAAAGCCCTATTGAAAGATGAGCCATGGCTGTAAAACTTAAATTTGGCACTGAAACTTGTGAAACTGAAGCAATGCTGCTTTTACATTCAACTTTTAAATTGAATCTGAGCATACTCAGAAGACCTGGCCTGAAGGAAAGATTTCCATGAAGTATCTTCCAACAGTGAGCTGTCTTTTTTAGAAGTTACCCGCACTCCTAGAAAATGCCAGCTGTTGAACTCCTGGAAAAATGTGCGCCTGTTACGGAGCCCAGAGTATCCTGTGCCGTGCTCCTTTGCCCCACCTGCACGGAAGGCACCCCGGCGGGGTTTGCACCGCTCCCCCCGTGGCCCAGGAGCAGTCTGAGCCCCGCCAAGGCTGCTGGAGGCGGCAGCAGCTGCGCTGCTGGCCTGGCGCCTGCCGCCCTGACCGGCATTGTTCCCACCACAGTCTGTCCGTGCGGCCGTGGGGGCTGCTGGGAGAGGGAGGGCCAGGCCCGCTGTCCGCCGGCAGACAGAAATTCAGGGGGCAGCTTTGGGAGCACGACCGGCTCAGGAGCAAAGTTCTGGAGTGCAGCTCCTGCAGCAAAAGGTCAGGGAACTGACGTGCTGAGCAGCAAGGAGAGACTCCGGGCCTGCGGGGAGACTGCCTGGAGTGGGAGTCAACGCGTAGGAAGGCGAGATCCCCTGAGACTACAAGTCCCAGTATGCAATACTACTCCTCCGGTTGCATAACATGCAACCCTGGCCCGGGCGAGGTGGTGGGTGGCCGGAGCTCCTCTCCCATGCAGGCCAGGCGCAGGTGCTGTTCCCGGGCAGCTCCTCTCTGCAGAAGGCAGCAGGAAGGTGCAGGCCTCATGAGCGCCGGCTGCTCCGGGGCCCGAGGAGTGCGTGCACCCTTTGGCTACGCCGGATGTTTTGGGACTTGCAAACACACGCCTGCAAGCAGCTGCGGGTGGCTGGGTGGGTTACTGCTGAGTTACTGATAGGGAAATGGGGCTGCTGTGGCCTTGCCGCAACCCGGCTGCTCTGGCAGGGGGAGTTGTGCTTCCTCTTCTCTTTTCAAGTTTTCCACGTAAGAAAAATGGAAATTTCTCTGGGTGGCTGCTAAACTTAATCCCTAGGTGAGCCATTTGTAGAAAGTGTCTGGGAAAGGAGGGGTCAGGCTAACCGGGTTGGGACGGTGCCTGCGGGCGGTGGCTTGCAGTGTGTGCGAGGCAGCTGAGGTGTCGCTACCCATTTGGCGAGAGTGCAAGATCAGTCAACACAGGAGCACAAACCGAGCCTTGTCTTCAGGAGGGAAGGCTGAGCCCTTGTTAACCCTCTTCCCACAAGGAAGAAGAGGGGACTCAGCAAGGGCTGAGTGTCCAGCCGTTACCTGGTGCTGTACCTCCTGCCTCACCCCTGCGCTGAGACAGTGCCCTTTGGGCCATGCTTCCTGGAGGAGCCCGTGGACGTGGGGACAGGGATGGTGTCTGGGGCAGAGAGCGCATCACCTGGGGCTGGGGAAGAGACCCCAGCACCCTGCAGCCAGCTGCTGCTACCTGATTCAGCCTTGTCAAAGGCTGCTCCAGGCCGCAGCTCCGGGGAGGGGGGTGTTTGCTGCTGTGCAGTGCCCTGGTGTCTCCTCTGTCCTCTTTTCTTGGGGCCGATGCCAGTGCTGTGGGGCGCATCCCTGCCCCGGGGGTCTTGCCGAGCAGGAGCCTGTCCCTCCACCCCGGCTGCGTCCTGCAGAGGACAAGGGACAGCAGACCTCGCTCTCGGGGTTGCTCCGGCCACAGCCTGCCCGCCCCGCGGACCCGA